AAAAAAAAAAAAAAGAGTTTGAAGTTGCTGTGAGCTATGACAGCACTCTACCAAGGGCAACAAAGAAGAGACTGTCTCTCAAAAAAAATAAAGGGGTTTTTCCCTTACTAAACCATGTTAAGATTGCTTTCAGCACATGCATGATGAAATAGTTAAGTTTTTCTTTTTTTGTTGAGACAGAGTCTCACTTTGTTGCTCTTGGTAGAATGCCATGACATCATAGCTCACAGCTACCTCAAACTCTTGGGCTTAAGCAATTCTTTTGCCTCAGCCTTCCAAGTAGCTGGGACTATAGGCTCCAGCCACAGTGCCCTGGCTATTTTGTTATTGTTGCAATTGTTGTTTAGCAAGCCCTGGCCAGTTTCAAACCTGTGGGGCTCTAACCACTTAGTGATGGGTGCCAAGCCAGTTAATTTTTTCTTTCTTTCTTTTTTTTTTTCTTTTTTGAGACAGTGTCACTTTGTCACCATGGGTAGAGTGCTGTCATAGCTCACAGCAACTTCAAACCCTTGGGTGCAAATGACTCTCTTCTCTCAGCCTTCCAAGTAGCTGGGATAGTAGAGTGCTATGGTGTCACAGCTCACAGCAACCTCAAACTCTTGGGGTGAAGCGATTCTCGTGCCTCCGCCTCCCAAGTAGCTGGGACTACAGGCACTTGCCACAACGCCCTGGCTATTTTTTAGTTGCAGCCGTCGTTGTTTGGTGTGCCTGGGCTGGATTTGAACTCACCAGCTCAGGTGTACGAGGCTGGTGCCTTAGCCGCTTGAGCCACAGGTGCTGAGCCTATTAATAAGTGGTTTAATAGCACCTATCACCTTGGTTATTTTTTTATGCACTATTAATTGATGTAATGGTAGCCAGTTTACATGGTGATTTGTAATTTTAAATGTTAGATAAGCTAGATCTTTTTCTGTTTTTCAGGGGTAAATTACCTTTCTCTATTGAAGTGACAGTTGTCATCCATAAATGTTTTTGTGGCCAGAATCCAGTAGGGTATCTATTATATAATCAAGGATGTGATTTAATTAAAACCTGAGTTAACCTTTGTTAAATGTAACATTCTTCCAATCTTATTCCTCTTACAGCATACTTTTCACTTACGTCTTAGGTGACAGGAATGCTTCCAGAGACCAGTTATTTTTCATTGTCTGATTTTCTGTCTTACCCATATTCTGTTTTTCCCCGTCCCTAGCACTTACAACCTTTTATTCTGTGGTCCCTGTGGCATTCCCATTGGTTTCCATCTATATTCTACTCATGCTGCCCTGGCTGCCTTGAGAGGTCACTTCTGCCTTTGCAGTGAGAAAATGGTGTGGTGAGTAGACTTAACTATTGTTCAGCAAATTAATATTAAAAGACCTTCCAAAAAAGACAAAGTGTTTATTCCAAAAAAGATTCTTAAGAAGAAGAGGGGTGGGAGAGAAGATACTAAAGCCAGGTACTCTCTATTACAAAAAAAGATAGCAGTGGGATGAAAATATAATCTCATAACTTTATGATCATTTTAGACTCCTCATAATGCTATGTTTTAGTAATCATCACAATAATTTAGAGGGTATTCTTTTATTAAAGAAAATTCCGGAAGGTAAGCTTTTGCAAAATAATGTTACCTAGACATCTAGTTCTGTACATTTATGTCCAGCCCTTTGATTCCATCCCATACTTGGGAGCTGTGGCCATGTATTTATCATGTGCGTAACCACTCCCAGGTGTAGGATCAAGAATGGATTCCTAGGGCCAAGAATAGTGGCTCACCCATGTTTTCCTAGTGGTTGGAAAGGCCAAAGCAGGAGATTGCTTGAGGCCAGGAGTTTGAGACAAGCCTGGGCAACATAGTGAGAAATTTTTCATCTTTATGAAAAATTTAAAAAATGAGTTAGGTGTTGTTGCACATGATATCATCCTAGCTAGTTGGGAGGCTGAGGTGGGAGAATTGCTGGAGCCAGGAGTTTAAGATTACAGTGAGTTATGATGATGACATTGCATTCCACCCTGGGTGACAGAGAAAGATCCTGTTTGCTTTAAAAAAAAAAAAAAAAAAAGGCTGGACATGATGGCAGCTTATACCTATAATGTTAGCATTTTGGGGGTGGCACCTGTAGCTGAGTGAGTAGGGCACTGGCTACATACACCAGGACTGGCAGGTTCAAACCCAGCCTGGGCCTGCTAAAACAACAATGACAACTGCAACAAAAGAAATAGCTGGGCATTGTGGTGGGCACCTGTAGTCCCAGCTACTTTGGAGGCTGAGGCAAGAGAGTCACTTAAGCCCACGAGTTTGAGGTTGCTGTGAGCTGTGACGCCATGGCCCTCTACCCAGGGTAATAGCTTGAGACTCTGTCTCAAAAAAAGAAAAGTTTAAAGAGGCAAAAAGTATTCTTAAGTGGTTGGTAATCTCAAATGTTTTTTAGAAACAGCTATAAGTATATGTCCTAGAAGAGTTAATCAGAGTTTTTACTGCAGAAGTAAACTTAATAATAAAAGTTTTTAACATAAATTTGAAAAGCATTATTGGATTTTGAGTAATTTCTTAATCTTTAAAATGGGTTGGATCAAAAGTTAGAACATACTTTTTAGTTAAGTAGAAACTAGGAAATTGTTGGTAGCATGAGTGTGGAAATACATCTATTTATCAGTGAGATTGAATTTGGTTGCAGAAAATCTGACTGATGGTGGCTTTATTTTGTTTTGTTTATTTATTTATTTATTTTTTGAGACAAAGTCTCAAGCTATCGCCCTGGGTAGAGTACTGTGGCATCGCAGCTCACAGCAACCTCTAACTCTTGGGCTCAAGCGAGTCTCCTGCCTCCGCCTTCCAAGTAGCTGGGACTACAGGTGCCTCCCACAAACCCCAGCTATTTTTCTTGTTGTAGTTGTCCTTGTTTAGTGGGCCAGGCTGGGTTCGAACCCACCAGCCTCAGTATATGTGGCCAGTACCATAACCACTGGACTAGGGAAGCTGAGCCCTGATGGTGGCTTTAATAAGAGGTGGGGGCATTTGGCTGCTCTAGAAGTCTTAAAAGGGCTCCACCATGACAGGGCTCTGGGTCAGTATCTGTCTGGTTCTCTTGGCCTTTTCCTGTTGCTGCTGCCAGTTATAATCATTACATCTATCTATGGGAGCATCCTCAATAGGAGGGAAAAAGATATGGGAAGCACAGGAACACAAGAAAAGATCTCCTTTTATCAGCATAAATTTCCTCATTTTGTTTATCAGAATTATGTCACATGATTACCTTAAGTTGAGAAAGTAGATATGTGACAACAGGATTGTCCTAGTTGGGTTAGAACAATTATGATTCATCTCCTAAGACTGGAAACACTGCTGTTCTACATACAGTCTGGATTCCGTTAGCATGAAAGCTGTGCCAAATGGCCACTGGGTAAGCAACTATCACTATTTGTCACAATGTGATTACTTTCCCTCAGACTATGCTACAGGATCTACTAGTAGAATGTGAAGCTTAGACTCATCATAATTATT